ACCCGGGCTGCTTCAAAGACCATGTTTCTCCCCCCGCCCCGGGTAGGAAATGTGCTTAGCTGGAGGAAAACGGGGCCGCGCACAAAAGTGCAGCGCCAGCCGCCCAGAAACGCGACGACTTTGTACTTTCTGTACTGCCTCTTTCAGCACAATCCGCGCTCGGCTTTTTTAGCCCAAGATGCACCCCCTCTCCCCCCGCCGACCCCGGCCCCCCGCGGCTCCGAGAGGGAAATCCGGACGGGGCTCTTGTGTTGTTTTTGGCCCCCACCGGGTCTTGCTGCGGCCCCTGGTCAGGCCGGGTCGGCACATACACACACGTCCAGCGAGAGAGACACGCACGCAGAAAGTATCTTTATATACATCGCTCGATAGCTTGCAAGGAGTGTATACGTACACACATGTACACACACGCTTGAATAGATACATAGACGTGTTTTTATACACACTTAAAGATGCACACACTTTTTTAGACACATGCACTTGTATACATGCACATGCACACTTTTATACATACATACAAATACTTTTATACACGCACAGACACGAATTGTTCCGTGTTTAGACCTGGTAACTCCCTCCCCCCGCTAAAATATCTTTACCAGTTCAAAAAAAAAAAAAAAACCACACACACGCGCGGATACACAACCCCCCCCCCCCCCCCCCTTCCCTCAATTTGGGTTGTCTAAATAAACGAATAAATGCAGGGGGGAGGGGAATCTAATTTAATCCCGGTATAAATGGGGGGGACCCAGCCCGGCAGGACCGTTTCAAGTTGCCCGCAGCCAAACCCTCCGAGCCGTTTCCAGGCTCCCCCTCTCCTGGAAAAAAAAGGCGGGGGGGGAGGGGGAAGTCACCTAAAATAGGCAGGAGCCGGGGAAAGGCAATGTCTGAGTGTGAACGCAAAGAAGATCTGCTCCAAATATCGCCCCGGCGCCTTCCGACACCCCCGTGGCCGGACGGGAGCTTCGCCGGGGCTGCTCGGCGCTGGACGGAGCCCAAGCGCGCGCCGGCTCCGCGCGGCCGGGGGAGGCTGGCGGGAGGGAGCGGAGCGGAGCGGAGCCCACGGCTGCAGAAGAGACCGCGGAGAGATGTTGAGTGATCATTGGAGCAGCAATGACTGACAGCTGCTCGGCTCCCTCCAAGCTTCGCCTCGGCTTCTCCCGCTCTGCTTTTTGGGTTTTTTGCCTTTTTTTTTTTTTTTTTTTAAAAAGGAGGGGAAAAAAAACAAACCCCCAACAAACCCTCCAAACGCCGCCAGTTTTTAAATGCACTTTCCTTACAAACAACCACCAAGCCCTGCACCTAAAGAAGCAGCCCGGAGAGGAGAGCCCGGGCCCTGCTGCACCAGGCTCCTTCTCCCGTGGAAAACAAACCAAAAAAACATGTCTAGAACTAGATAGACGATATATTATATATATATAAAATGGGCTTAATGGCAGTGATGCGGCTTTAAAAGCCCCAGTTGCTCCATGTTGCACGGTTTCACACGCGGATCCTGCAGGAGGCTGTAATGGTGGCGGTGGGGTATGTATGCCATGCATCATTTCGTTGCTAATAAAAATTCTGCCGGGTTGTCCTTCGTTTGCCAATGGCGCTTGCATTTTTCAAGTGTTTCTCATCAGTTGAGAACGGAATCTGCATTTCATTAAAGCTGCAATTTCTCTGTTGATCAATCTTCCCCCCCCACCCTCCCTTCCTCCTCCCTTTGTCAGTCGCCCCAACCTCTCCTCCCCACCCCCCCAAAAAAGAGACTTAAAGCAAGATTTACTGGGTCAGCTCTCAATGCAAGGAGAAGCTATTTTAAGAGCATTTTTTTATGTAATCAAATGGTTACCTAGAGGGGTGGGAGATGTTATGGAGGGGGGGAAATGCAGAGCCAAGCTCACCATCCCGGCTGCTTTCCGCTGCAAACACTCGGGTGCTAGGGTCCGCGTTTTCTTCTTTGCAAAAAAAATTTTAAAATATTTTTTAAAAAAGTGTGCATATAGAGAGCTCACATCTATATACACACACTATAAAATAGCTATAACATATATCGATCTAAATAAACTGCAGCTCTGAATGGCGAGCTGAGTTTGTAGCAAATATTTAATTGCCTTGATCTTTGCCACTGATAGCAAAACCCTGGATTGAATTAAGGATTTATTTTTTTTTTCCATTGCGGGTTGATAAACAGCAGCTGGGAGCCATCTTGGAGGGTGGGGATGAAAACATTTCTGAGAAAGAGCAGTATTGTCCTTCGCCTACAAAACTTTGCCTTCTCCCTCTCTTCCCCGCTGCCCCCTCCCCAAAAATAAATAAATCTCTCTCTCTATCTAAAAGCTCGCGGGCAATCAGCCGCCTGCCAGGTTAGTAAAGCAATTAATCACTTTAAATAAAGTTACGTCTGCAGAAAGCTGCTTCTCTCAGCTGCAGGAGAGGAAACCCACCCTTTCTGTGTAAGTGGGGCTTGCTTTTCTCTCCCCCCCCCCCCCCCCGCTTTTTTTTTTTTTTTTTTTTTTTTTTTTTTACTATTCTGGGTCTGGCTTCTTGTGATCAGACCTGAGCAAGAATATCTTGCATTCAAAAGCTTGTTTAACTTTATCCCAAAGATTCAGGAGCCATTTTCTCTGCCCTTTTTTTGGCTGCTGGGGGGGAGAATAATAAACCCTAGTTTGTCAATGCAGGCAATCGAGGCATGCAGCGCGCCCGGCCCGGGGGCCGCTGGCTCGGCGCTGCCCTGGTCAGGTTCCCCAGGCTCGGCCCGAGCTGCATTTGCTTTTGCAAAAGGAACGGAACTGAACGAGCACGTTAAGGGGTTTTTTTCCCCCCCCTCCCCTTCTCCCCCCTTGCATTGTTTTAGGCGGCGTTAATTAGATTAAGACTTTCTTTTGTCTTGCCATTGTTTGTTCTCTCTCTCCAGTGCAAATCTCGGGCCGCTTTGAGATGCACTGTATCATAAACACACCATTATTCCCAGCTGGGTTGCCAAAATACTTCGCCTTATCAAAGGACACTCCAACCTTGAAGCCGCCTTGTCACCGCTCGCCCATAAAAAGCCCGAGCCGCTCGCCTTCAGAGGCATCTCTTTTGTCTTCCTTTCCTCTCTCCAGATCCTGAGCCGCGGTACTGAGCTGTTTCAATCACCACCCCCACTTTTTTTTTTTTAAAGGGAAAAAATTCCTAGCAAAGAAAATCACTCTTTTTCTCCCAGGGGTAAACACAAATGTTGGGAGCAGGCTCGGGTTTAAGGCTGTGCTTTGTACTCCAGCTAGAGGTGGGGGGGAAGCTCGTGTGTCCCGTGTTTCAGTGCAGGTCTGGCGTGTTCCCTCTCACACATACTGGTGCACAATAGGGGCTTGTTTGCTGGGAAAGGCATGGGTCCCTCCAGCTCTCCTGACTGCCTGGAAGAGGGTTGCCAGGCCGGGCTGGCTCTCCAGAAACTTTTCTTCCTCTTTTCTGTGGGGAATAGTTAAAAACAACAAACAAACCCCAAACCCTATTTATTTCAGGTTTTTTCTTTCCCCCCCCCCCTCCTAGTTCTAATGATTAATAAACAGAAGGAGTCTTTGAAAGCAGCCACCACAGCCCCTCGCCCCTGTCCCCCCTTCCAGTGTATGAAAGGGCTGTAACTACCCCACTCAGCTGCTGCTGCTTTTTTTTCTTTAAATAAAGCTTTCATCTGGCAGATCAAAGCCTTTCCCCCCTTGTTTTCCTGCTAAGAGGTGGAGGATTTGAACCTGAGTGGCAGGGGGATGGTTTCTGGGTTTCTTTGCCCAGAATTGCCCTCCTTGAGACTGGGCTCCTACATCAGGATGGTCCCCCCAGAAAGGTGAAGGATGATTGTTGCTTTGCCTCCTGTCCCAGAAGGATGGCTGTGGTCTCTCCTCTGTGGAGGTGCTCTGAAGTGAGGCAGAGAGGGATGGTTTGGTGAGCCCTGGAATAGGAATACCCCCTCCCCCAGTTGCACCCAATTAGTGAAAGCGCTCGGTGGTCCCGCACCCCTAGGAACAACCCCGAGCTGAGTCGGGGTCCAGGATGTTGGAACAGCAAACACTCGCAGCCAGGATCGGTGCAGCCAGCCAGGGAAAGCACAGGATGCATTCCTCTGCTGCCCACCCATGCATCCTGCCTGGGCTAAAGGGCTCCCACGCCACCTCCTCCCCCTAAGATCAGAGTCTAGCCCAGGACCCTGGCAGGGGATCACAGGATATGTAGCAGGTCTGAGCTGGGGAGCAAAGATACCTGCAGGGATTGCACAAAATAACAACCCCTGCCACTTCTCCCCAGGCCCAGCACTGGGGTGCAATTCCTGCATCCCCCAATTCCTGGGATGTCCCTGCACCCCTCCCCAACTTGCATCACCCTACACCGGTCCCCCTCCTGGGGCTGCAGGTGCTAGCAAGACTCAAGTGCCTTCCCCCAGCCCCTCCATCACTCAGCCAAGCAAGCCAGGTGGGCTAAGAGCGCACACACACAGCTCAGGGGGATGCAGGACTACTACTCACAAGTAGAAAGTCCTGCTGGGGTGGCACTTGTCTATCCCGGGTCAGGAAGCTGGCAGGTGTGCACATGGCATCCAGGCTGGGGCAGTGGCCTTTGGGTGGGGGTCATTCATTTTGGGGAAGCCTATCAGCCCCATGGCAAAACCTTCCCATTGCCCCTCCCAGGAGCTGGCTCCTGGGGTAGAGCTGGTGGATGCTGCATGACCTGGTGCGTAATGGCAGAACAAGTCCCTTCTGCCCATTGCTGCTGTCTCCCCGCTTCCCCATCACTCTTACTGGGACTTTGAGATTTACTCTCTTTTTTTTTTTTTGGCTTGGAATAGAACATGCTGTATCTGCAGCCCCCGGGCATCTGCTGTAGGATTATTTGTTTTCTCCCTTTTTTTTTGCAATAAGCCTTTCTGTTTAAAAAAAAAAAAGGCACTACAACCACATTTCCAGAAGTGCTGGGTGCTGTGCATGCATTTCACTGTGCATTTTTAACGTGCTTACTATAGGTTTTCAGGTTTGGAACTGCCGGGGTATATTTAAAGTGTAGAGTCAGGGACTTTATATAGAAAAGCGGGCGCGACGCTACAGGCTGCGTTCAGCGCACAAAGCGGGACCCAGGCTCTGGCTACCTGGGCCCCCTCCTAGAGAGGATGGCTGGGAGATCCTCTTTTTAGCTCCCCTACAGCAACAGTTGAATAAGGGTTTATAAACAATGGCAGAGGAGGAAAACGCAGAGGCGGCAGTCCTGGGACACATTGGCCACCCCAGCTGTGCCCGCTGCTGGAAGTGGGAGAGGTGCAGCTTCCAGATGCCAGGTCACGATATGTCTCACCTTATAGCTATGGGGAGGGGAGAGAAGCTGGCTATATCCCCCCACCACTACTACCAATGTGACCTCAATCTGGAGTTAAAACCTAGAGCCTCTTTCAAGTAAAGCATGGCCCCTGTAAGGGGAAAGCAATTGCAGATTTGCAGAGCTGTACGAGTTGGGGGAAAAAAGGGGATAGTGAAGGCATGCAGTGGGGAAGACGCGTCCCTAGTGCTGATTGCCTACAGGAATCCTGGTGGTAGCATCACCCCCCCCCCCCAAGAAGGGTAAAGGTCAAATACTTCAGCCCAGGTCAGGCACACACCCCTATGCGTGCCCCCCCCCCCAACACACGCACATTCATGCTGATTAGCATCTGCTCCCTAACTTATAACGAACCTGCTCAACAGCCTGTTGACAGCAGGGGAAGAATTTACAGCAACATTTTGGGGCGTGAGGGATGCCAAGTTTGGGTCTTTACACGAGTCATGGTGGAAATCTGCCAGGCTCATGTGTTTTCACTGGGGGGGGGTGGAAGAATTC